CAACAAGAAAGTTGTGCTGAAGTTCAAAGACGAGACTGGTGGGAAGCCGATCAGAGAATTCATCGCCCTAAAACCGAAACTATATTCGGTCGTCCTTAATGGTAAATAAAATTTAAGCCACCCTTCCACCCCCCATTCCTACCTTTTACAGAACAAAAATACCACCACCAACCTACCTACACCCCTTAATTTGTTGCATTAAACTATGGGCATTTAGCTGATTTAGGCAACATTATACAATGTTGCCTAAACGTTGATTTATCTGACAACATATTCCCTCTTGTTTCCTCTTTTTTAATCATAATTTAGAGTCTTCTGCTCTTTTTTGGTAAAATGAATCAAATTTTGTTCGGTATAAATTGAGTTGCTGAAGTGAAATGAAGCTATCCCCAACGTTGTAGAAGAGAATAATAATTTTGCTATTGTTTAGAAGGCACTCAAAAATTGAGTGCCAAAGGAATTAAACGGAGTGCACAGAGAGAACTGGTCCACCAAACCTTCAGGGACACATTATTCACTGGAAAAACAATGAGAGTATACAACTATAATATAGTTTCGAAAGGTCACACCAATATGACAGTGAAACAAAACAAACTTGCATTATCACCATTCGACTCAAAACGTTTTCTACTTTTCGACGGAATTTCGACAGTGCCCTTTGGCCATAAAGCCGCTGAAGAAAATGCTTTTCTAGAAGACATTTACATGGACACCGAGTGGGCCAACTCATACAATGAAACTGATAACAGTTCTCCCGATTTTACACTCCCGGATTGGGGATTTTTACAGCGGCCCTACTCAGAAGCAGAGCTGCAAGAAGAAGAAGAAGCTTCTAGTAGCCGAGTCCGTGAACGTCCCCCTATAAAAAACCCATTTATTTTATCTGAAGCTTCAGAAGAACGACCATCTAAAAAACACCGCAAAGAAAACCAAAACAATAAACATTAAAGTCTGAAACATATATTTTCAGATGATTTTTACTCTTCGTCCTTTTTATACTTCGACTTGTATATGTTTTGGTTTTTACCAATTGACAACTAATAAAATACTCGTATTGAGCTCAATCACTGTTTTAACATAAATAGCTTCAGGCAAATAAACTAGTAGACACAAACCAAGTGTTAATTCAAACAAATGTGTGAAATCCTTAGGCTTGTTTTGAATAATAAACTTTAATAGCATGACAAATCTTTGACGAAAAGAAAGAAAGCCAGGAAATGATATCCACATGAAACTAGGACGAAAAAAGAAAAGTTCAGGAATTAGGACGATTAATTTTAATTATCGCGGGAAAAGGGACCGCTTTCAAAGGAATTAGAAGGAATTATTGTATCGCGTCCCGGTTGTTGAGCTCAGCTTAACAAGATCCTAAGGAGGGGGTCTTTTACTTTAGGGGTGGGAACTTGCGATCATTTACAAAATCCTAGGATAGGGGTCCTCCAAAAAATTAAGGACCCCTTTCCTAGGATTTTGCTTTACGTGAGGACCCCCCCCTTAGGAAGGACCCCCCCCTTAGGATCCGGGACACGATACAATACTACTACTATCGTCATAGGAAGATAACTATTAGCGATAAAAAAAAACTCAACAAGACTGCTCGTATCAGGGCGAATTGCAGATGGTTACGACTGCCTTTTAAGGAGGTCTAATAACAAGAAAAAATTAAATGTAAATTAAAACAAAAAAATTGAAATTTGAGATTTTTTGTGAAAATCATCACCCCACACGCCATTTAAAGTAAAAAGTGATAGGTTTCGCTCCTAGTAACAAATCAGATATTGCAAAAAGTTTCCTTCAACCAATTTGGAACGGTTTTTAGGACGGATTAAATTTCGCTTACGCGTTGAAAGCGCTAATATAGCGAATTATATTGCGCGTTAATTGTCCCAAATTGCCAAAACCACAATGTTTGAAACTCATAACTTTACGAAAAAAGATCAAAGGTGAAACATTTTTTCAAAATTATGCTCAGGACAACTATAAATTTTCAAAGATTTTTTAAAAATTTGTCAAAAAAGGCTGGTTAAAATGTCGAAATTTGTCTGAAGAAAAAAAAACCACCACGGGCACAAATATTCCGTTACTTTCGTTATGAACAATAACTCGTGTTACAACGACAAGTTGACGTGTAATAAATCAGCAAACCTGAGAAACTTCCAAAATGAAACGAGTATCTACGGAACATCACCTCCTCCCTCGTGAAGACGTGTATATGTTTTCTCTGGAAGATTTTTCAAAAAAAAAATTGCTCGGAAACCAATCGATCTTTTCGGCCGACCATGTTGACTTTTCGGGTAGAATAACTTAAAGAACCCTTTTTTGTTTAATTATTCTACGCCGCATGTTAAGCATTTTGTGGACGGCATTATCTGTGTTTTTTGACGTCTACTTCTCTTCAGTTCATTTTAATCAACTAGAACAAAATTTGAAATTGATAGATTCTCATATTATTTATCAATCCTATTCGATGCGTTGCTATATATGTCGATTGTATTTTTGGTAAGAAATTATCACAAATGGTATCATGTGAATGAAGAAGGTAGTTATCCATAAGGAATAAGGATATATACAATTTTATGTATACTTTTCCCACTGATAACAAATATAAATTCCAACTAACTTTTAGATAAACTATCACAAAGATCAATCGCAAAAAAAAGTTCACAGCAAATCTCTTGCCTTTAACTGATCCACAACAGTGATGACCAGACAGGAAACTTGAAAAGATTAACCCTAATGGTTCATTAAATCGCTTTAAATCTGAAAAGAAAATGCTTGGCTGCTAACTTTTCTTGGAAGAGCACGCTCAGAGAAGAAAATCGACAAAGCCGTAGAAAGAAAAAATCAGAAAGAAAAAAGGCAGAGAAGACAAAGCTACAGGACATGGTCAGAGAGGGATTTCTCGATTGCATCAACGATTGCATCAACATTGTGGCAGAGAAAGAAAAATGATGACCTCAGACTTGAAAAGATTGCTCCGTCTGAGAATATTAACTCAATGGCAAAATATTGGACAAAAATTATCTGTTATGGTGAAAATTTTCACATCTTTGGGAAATTTTGACTTTTTAGACGCTTACCATCAAATGGAATTTGATGATGAAAAAAAAGTCTACAGAATCAAGTGCACAACAATCGGCAACCTTCTCACACACTTGCCATCAAATTGAACTTGGTGATGAAGCAAATACAGTTTGCACAATCAACACCCAAAAATGTCATAAAAAATGTGTTGACTACATAAAGGGATGATGAACTACGTAAAGGGATGATGAAGTTTTTGAAAAATTTTGTCGCTTTCATCTGGAAAAAAAGGTCACAATTTTTTAAAGCGAACAGTGTTCCATAGATCTGAAAACGCATTCGGAACGTTCAGGGTGCGCCCTGATAGGAAAAGTCTTGTTTCGTTTATAGACGCTGATTAAACTACACTATGCGACTTAAAAACTATTTTCAAATAAACGAACTTTCAGTACGTGACTTAACTGAAAGGTTTGTTAATTGTAAGCTGATTCAGCATCAACGACGTTTTGTTTGTTCTTCTTTTGCTCTTACGTTGTGTTTGATTGTTCCGAAAAAATTTCAACATATTTAAAACCTGGTCTCTGGATTCCAGAGACCGACACACATCAAATTGTGCGCCTAACCAGTGCACAGTTTGGCCTTGTAATGTTCAAAATAATTTTACTTTCGATTAATTTTTAGTTTTTATCTTGTTTCAAGCCAAAATTATGCAACTTTGCATCAGTTGTAATTTTAAATTGTGCTTTGCACAAGCATACGACTTAAATTTCATACCACTCGCGAAAAGCAAGCTTTTGGTTAACCACTCCCAAATGGAAGCCAAAACGAGCAAACTACAAAACAAAACAAAGTCGAAGCTGATGTGTATTACGTGCTTATAAGAACTGTTACGCGTACTGATTTTGAAAACGCTCGTGTAATTTTTCTCTCGTGACATCTTAATCAGTGATATTTTTTTTCGTTGTTCCATTTTTTGTACTGAAAACAATTGGCGTTAAAATTCTGAGATTAAACTTCAAAAAGATCAGGTTTTTTTTGAAAAACTAAAAACGTCCATAATATCAACAAGAGTAAGTTGTATGGCTTAATTCTCCAAAAAACTTCGGTGAAATAATTTATCTGTTAAAACAAGAAAACTAAAGGAATCAATAATAATTTGAATGAATATCGTTTTAAGAAATTGAAAAAAAAGTCTGAACGTTGGGTAAAATGCAGCGTGATTTCACAAGCGTCTAAGAAAGACTTCAAATAGTCTGCTTCAAATCATTATGAAATTTTTTACGAGTTGGATAGTTTGAGGCTCATGCGTTATTTAATCAAAAATTAAGGCGCAAAAATTGTCAGGCGGCCGTAAAAAATCACAGGAGAAATATTTTTTCTTATCTCAATGGGTCATTAACTTTTAGATGGTGTCTAAAAATATTATTTAAAAATTGAAACTTGTCTGAAAAAACATCACATCAAGCTCAATTATTTTTTTCGTCCTCGAAAATTGGAAAAAAACGTTGAAACTAAATTTCCTAATCACTCAGAAAAAGATGCATTACAAAAAACACCAGCGTGTCATCATAATGTACCTATTTATAAGACATTGATCAAAATGAACAATTAGTTTTATCAATTCTTAAGAATTATGGATTTTGATGTACTTTTAGAATCGATTTTTGAATTTGAATGGTTTCGATCATTTTGCTAGTCGATACAAAATTTATTGAAGCTTCGTGCTTACTAGTCCATATAACGCTAATCTGAACAGAACAATTTAACGTCTGAAATCCTTTTTTTAATCATTTTAGTTCGAACAGGTATAACCTAACTCTCAGCTACCTCAAAAAATAGTATTAAATAAAGGAATAGTTTATTTTTCAATAGTATGTCTCCTCAAACTCTCTTTATTATTCATTTATCGTATTCTGCTCCCTAATTTTCAGCTATTTGGGAGTCGAGAGTTTTAGCAAAATTTTTTCGTTTTTTAGAGCTTTCTGCGTCGAATCAATATGTGTCTGTGGGAGGTTCAAGCGTTGACGGAGGCACAGTCGACATCGAAGTGAGAGCGAGGACTTCAAACTGCTCCGGATATTTTACCGGTTTGGAACGAAGTTCAGTGACAACACTCACCGCTTATACAGGTAAAAGATAAGCATATGACATGCGGGTATTATAACAAAAACCAAAACATAAACTGTCAAAAAGGTAATCTTCTGATAAAAAGCTTGAAAAAACGTTGTCGCAAAATTATAGAAAATATCTTCGTCCAACTTTTTTTAAATCGCTACTAATCGATTCAGTATTTGTTGAAGCGGTGTTAAGCTTATTTTAAACTGTTGTGAAAACACCTGGTTTGGAGCTTTGGGCTCTGGATAGAATAATAACATATTTTATCCAAAAGAAATTATCATATCAAATGACTTTTATCAGATAAATTGAGTCTTACCTATTACGAATTTCAAGTTTACGTTACAAATTATATTAAATTTATTTTCATACGAATGTCAAGTTTGAAGTTTACTGAACAAATCGGTTAAAACTTTGAGAAGGTTTGGTCCTCGAGTTTTCATTGATGGAACACACTTTGAACTTAAAACTTTAAACTTTAAAATACTTTAAATATTGTCTGATTTTTTTCAGTTCCTCTGCAACCAAGTTTGACTGTGACTACCAGCAGCCAGACATGCATCCAAGCCTCACCCACTTTACCCCAGTCTGGTGTGTCTACAATTGTGTACCAGTTGTACAGAGACGGGAGCTTCATCTCCAACATCACTGGAAACTACGATGATTGTGGTAAGGTTTATTACATTTTTAAGATTTGAAGTTTTTTCAGAATTGAAAATTTTCAAATTTGTTAAGTGTGTACCACAAGATCTTGTAATCATTATGTTATCAAAACTAAAACAATCTTAATACGGGAAAAAGAGATTGACAGTCATATGGATTTGGAGTTGTAACACATTGCAGGAAATCAAAAATGTTCAACTAAATTTTTTCTCGCCACTAGCAGTTTCTATTTTGTACTTATTTTTTAAATTCAGACACAAATAGAAACGAAAGAGTTGAAATTGGTTGCACGCTCGATTGGCGGCAAGGTCTCCTTGAGGTACGCCAACCATCCTTGGCATATTTGCTTCCTTTTCATGAAGTGGTCGGACCATTCTGTACATGTTAAAACGATTCCCATCTTTTTAACTCAAAACAACAAAACACCATATAATTTCACTTACTACTTTTTGTTGCCATAGCAATTTAACGACACTACATTTTAAAAACTTCGTAACATTTCTAAAACCTAACACCGATTTAATCAAAAATGAAAAGAAACTTTACTTTAAAGATGATTTCTGTAAACATCAAAGAAATGAACGAGAGAAATTTTTGCCATTTTAAGCCAGACAATATCGCGCTACTTAATTCGCGTAAGTTTTGAACAGAAATGACCCTTGCCAATATTTTCAATGAATCGTTCCAAACCGAAATGAAATGGCCTTCCCAATATTTTCAATGAATCATTCCAAAGTGAACCAAAAACAAGCAATAGTTCAATGAACTTCAAAAGCCCGCAAACAATTAGACGGTCTTTGACTACTATGGTCTAATTTTCCAGATATTTTCAGTCGGTATAGATTTTTAAACAAAGGTTTAACCAATACCAAAAGCCTAAAAATCATTAATTTAAGAATCATTCTCGAACTTAAACTTATAACCTGACCGCTTTGTCAGCTTTTTTTGAACTGTTGGCCCATAAATGCAAAACTAAAAAGTTTGCCAGCCCGCAGTCCCACCCTAGCATCCCGAAAATAAGGGCGATTGTCCTGGGTTTCGATTGCTAAGGCACGAGTCTTGTTCCTGCTTTTAGTTGCGTTTCGGGAACTCTGCAAGGAAAAGTCTTTTCAAAAAAGCTGACAAAATTTCGTTAGGATTAAAACTTGAGTATTAATAATACGAAAGAATAAAGTGAAATGAGACAAAATCTACAAATTATTAACACAAACTAGATAAGGCTCTGACAAAGTACAAATCAGTTTTGTTTTCGTAAACGGACATTGTTTTGTACTCTTCAATTTACTACTCGATACTTTTTCTTTTTTTTGTGAAATCATGGCCACTCGATGCATCAAAAAAATTAGTTTTTGTACTGAAGCGTCTTTCATGGAAGAGGGTGCTCACTATTCTTCACATATTTGGGTGGGTTTCGCTGAAATACGATTGGATCCCGAAATGCCATCCCTCGACAGCATTCGTTCGAGCAATCCCACTGACGGCCGCATCTTGCTGGTTCCAAAGGGAGGGTGGAAATAAAATTTCGCGGTTTGGCACCAAGCTTTTTATATGAGTAGACCAAAACACAGAAACAACTCGCCAATTTTTTCAATTTTTTCGGGTTTTATACAATTTCTGTCGCATACATTCTGAATTGCCTGAACTTCCTTATTGTTTTTTTTTGCGTTTGTTTATCATTTGAGTCAAATGTAAAGTGACTGTCAGAAATTTAATTTTGTCAGAAATTTTACGTCAAATGGTTACAAATTAGCACAAGCAGGATTTTTTTTTGACCATTTGGGTTTAGCAAAAAGTCTCATCGAAAATGAATTACGAAATTGTCGATAAGAATCTTAGGTAATTTAGGAAGCCTCATTCTTGCATGTATAACTAAGATAAAACAAGTTTTTCATCATGGTGCGTGCGTTAATTGCAGGGTTTACTTTGCTGTGATAAGAGTTATGACAAGGAAATCATACAGCAATAGGTTTAGCAGTGAAATGATTAGTTGTTGAAATGAACGGTTTTAAACTGGAAAATAGTAGTTAAATTGTTGTGGATTTAAAATTTTTAGTAGTGAAATGGCTAGGTGTTAAAAAAGACGGTGTTAGTTCTAAGGTAATAATTTGTAGGACATAGTTAAAGCAAACAAATTGACTAATAAAAATTTTGTGGCCTATAAATTTTATCAAAATACTCTAAAATATTCAATTTGAGTCGCAATGGTCGTAACATACCTAATTTGGGTCGCAGCGGTCGCAACATATCCATTTTGAGTCTTAATGGTCGCAACAAAAGTCCCCGACCGGACCCGACCCGACCCGACCCGACCCTTTTTTGCGATCTTTTTTTTTTGCTTATAATGATGGATACTGATCCGAACAAATACTAAAATTGGAATATAAGGTTATCTATTGACACTTTTTTGTTGGAAATTAGATAAAATAGGCGACAACATTGCTACAACATTGCTGTTTTTGGAACGTTCGTTCAGAGCTGGGTTCTGCTGTAGGTTGAATCTAGCATATTTTTTACTACAAAAAGAACCAAAAAAAACTTCACGACCAAAATTTTTTCTTCTGACAACCTCATGAAAACTGTTTTCTACGGAGGCTGCTTTGCCCAATTTTAGCTCGCCAAAAAAATCTTATGAAAAATTAACATTGACTTACAATAAAGACCTACTGTTTGTGATTCGGGTTCAAAAAAGTTTTAAAAATTATCGGTGTTTAAAAAATGGTCTGAAATAATTCATTTTTCACACAAATAAACAACTTGTATGAAATGAGAAAATTTAATTTCCTATTTATCACTACTGCTTTTTTAACAATCATAAAAAGGCCAAGTGAGCAATCCCTAGTCTTGATGAATATTTTTAGGGAGGATATCATCATGGCTTGATTGTAGGCCTTCTTTTTTACCTACGCACAATTCAGCTAGTAGCATGTTGTTTTCATTCCTTTATTGTAGCTTTAATTATCTCAGTTTTCAGACTAGTATTTCATTGAGCCCCCTGAACGCTTACAATTAAAAAAAAATAAAAAAATAGACTTTTAAAATTTTTCTGTATTCTTAATGACTTCGAGCGTTCGTTCGAGCATTCTGTGTCGTTTGAACCAGACCAGCTATATCCCTGTTTAATGTTTTTTATTATTCTAGGTTTGAGGCCAGGCTCTTCTTACGAATACAAATTGATGGCTGTCAGACCACTCAACGGGGCATTCAGAGATTCGACACTGATTGATACGTGCACAGGTCAATTTTAAGTTTCTTGCATAAAAAAAATTTTATAAAAAGATCCGCAAAACGTAAGTATTTGTTCCTAAGTATTACCAAACAGTCCTAAAGACAATAACCAAAATTTTTCTGATTTGAGAAAACCAACGGGTTGAGTTGGAAGAAATCGAGAGAGTAATTGCATTATGAGGTTCGCCATGTAAAATCCCGGGTTAACAAAAATGCTTGTCATACTATTTTATACTATTTCATACTTAAAAAAATCACAATCACTTTTTCATCCAAATTTTCTATCATTTTTTAGCTCACCAGAAAGCTTCAAATGAAACAAATAGAATAAAAATATGCACCAAATTTCTTTAAAACATTTTTTAAATTTTGTATAAAAACTGTATAAATATTTTTTCTATAGACGCCATATGTAAAATTTTATAAGAAGGATTTTTCTTTCTATGGACATCAACCCGGCATAAGGTTGTTTGCTCACAATTAAAAATTTAGAAAAAAAATGTAGCTTTCTTAATGGCTAGGCTTTTTTTTCTTAAAAAATTTGGGCGTTAGTAAACCTTTGCCTGTTTTTGACAGACTTTAAACTTTTCTTACTATTTAAATACAAAACAAAAATTTCTGGCTCCACACAAAGAAGACATTCTAGTTTTTAATTCTTTCGCTTGAAAAGAGTGCATGGACTACGTTATAGCAAAAAATCAATTTTGGCAGAAAACTGAAAAAGAATTTTTTTCTTCCAATCTTGGAATTCTTCGTCAAAAAAAGCTATTAACTTAGTTTTCATTTAAATTACTTCAATAGCAATACATACTGTGTATCAACTATGAACAGTCTCATATTTGTTTTCGTACATTTTTGTTGTTGTAGAAAAACTCCATTTTGAAAAAAAGCCTATTTTTCAAATTTCATTGTTAGAAGATCTGTGTCTAGCGCTGAATAAAGAGTTACCTATTCTAGGGAGCAAACTAGAATGAAAAACCTTAAAAACTCAGTACCCTCTTTTTCTCGATAATAAGACAATTTTTTCCACAAATTCAAATCACAAATATAATTACATAAATTGAAAGCACAGAAGATTTATTCCACAGAAAAAAGTTAAAAGCGTCAAATTATTAGATTTTTGAGTTGCAAATTGACTCTGCTATCAAAACTTTGAGAGAACTCTAATCTTCCAAAATATAAAAACTAAGAAATTTTGAAAAAAAAACTTTACATGAGAGATTTGTGCTCAAAAAAGTTTTCAAGATTTGTGCTCAAAAACATTTTCATAAAATTTATCAACAAATTTTAACAAAAATTCGAGGAAACTATATAGGGCCTGTTTCTGACCTTCTTGTTTTCATCTGCGCTGTCTATAAAGTATCAACTCAACAGACCGTTTATAAATCAAACTCTATATTTCAAACTGAACATTTTTTTTTATTAACCTTTTTTTCAAAATTTTTAGTGTTTTAACAGTACAATCAGGTTGAATCATTAAAAAATTATCTTTAAATGTGCTAGTTTTTTAGTTTTTGGACTCCACTGTTGAGCGTTTTCAATGTTGATGTTCTCTTATTGAAATTTTTTTAAAAAATTATCAAGAAAATGGAAAAAGTTGATTTATAAAATTTCTACAATAAAGTTTAAAATGGTCGATTTTTAACAACAAAAAATCAGCAAAAACTTCACAATGATTAATTTCTAAACTTTGGTGCCTCCAAAATGTGTTACATACTTTTCAAAGAAGGCTTACTGAGCAAAAGGATTTAAGAAAAAAGGTTTTTGATTTGTTGGCAATATTGTCAGATTGCAACTAAACGTATAATTCATTTTAGTTCAAGGCCTGACTCAATCTTCATGGTGATAAAATTTTAGCCTTTTCTCTTATTTCGCCATCAAAAGATCGCTTTCTAGTATCTTTAGTTACTTTCTGCGAGTCATTTGAGAATTTAAAAGTTTTTCAACGTGTTTTGATTTTAGGTATCGAGTTAGCAAAATTTGTCACCTATCTCCTGAATACCTATACCCGAAAGCGATTCATCGGTCGAATTGCGGCAAACTCCGCCTGCGGCCAAACGTTTTTGCTGAAATAGGGTCTTTTTCAGTGTTTTGAGAGAGCTTGCATAAACATTTCAGTTGGCATTATAAGTTGTTGTCAAATTGACTCAACCCCCTACGCAAAAAAATATAAAGCCCGGGTTGATCTCCATAGACCGAAAGTATTAATCCAATTCCATACAATATGTCTATGGAAAATGCTAGCGTAACCAGGGTAGACGTCAAGCGGGCAATTATTATGCCCTTGGTCTATCCTCTTCAGATATATTATACAAAATGTCAGATAAATTCAATGATGACTATTAAAAATGTGTTTCTTCATTTTCTGTATTTTTGCACTTAATTGTCTGAAGAAATAAATTCTTTCTTTCTTTCTTTCTTTCTTCTTGCTTGTTGTTCGAATTTCATAAATTTTTAAATAAATTGATTCAATCAAATTTTAAAGTAAAGTTTTGGTGTTTTGTCCTGAATGTCGATGTACTGGAACCTGATCTAAACTATATTTTATGATTGGATAAATTAAATGTTTTACCAATGTAAAGTATTTAATATTAACCAATCATGATCCATCTAACTAACAACCCACTTATTTGTAAGTGCTGAAGTTACTTGTAATTTCAGCACCAGAGAGATTTGAATTTAACTTAGTAATTAGTTGCACTCTCTCGAGTACTTCAGCAGCCGCAATAAACCAGTATACCCTAGATCTATTGAGCCTAGCAGAGACTAGTTAAACAACCTGAGACTAGATAGTATAAGAGTAAGATTAGGATCGGTATTAGACTAAGAAGTTGCACGAATCTATCCGGCCGAAAATAAGATAGCGTGACGAGCAGACGGTGTACCCTATCCGAAATTACTCTATGAGTTATACACTCCAGTCCTAACTCATCTGGTGCGACCATAAGTCTCGAACAAGACCTTAATAGATTAGAATTAACCAAAATAGATTAGAAATTAGACAAAAACATTTCCAAAATGTTATACGACAATAATTTAATCGAAATGTCTCTACGACTCAATAGATCAGAGCCAATATTCCGAACCATAACAGAACTACCCGGAATTGGAAGAAGACCTCAAACCAAAGACGACATACGACAAAGTAGAAACTTGCCATATAGTTATATGATAGTTCGGCAAAAGCCAGAACAAACTTTTATATTTCGAATACTACTCGCAATGAATTTAGATTTCCATTTGCAAACATAAAACCTTGAAGTTAATCTTCAAAATCATTTCAGGCGCTAAACAAAATTAATAATATACAATAACGATTGATAAAAAGATCTCAGATCGTTTTCCTAAAACTCTGCAGTAATATACAAAACATGTTTGAAAAATATTTATTGGAAAATAAAAATAAAAATTAGTAGCATGACAATAAATGGTTAGTAATCATAAATCATCCTGTTGTTCCAGCTTCATCACCTAAAACATAACAGCAATCATAAACCCACTAATATCATAAAACACTAAATCTTTCCTTTACACAAATTTAAAATTTTATTAAAACTTAAAGTCACTTAATTTAAAATCAGATCATCAAGGCTTATCCTTGGATCTTAAATCATTTTCTACGGAATTAAATTTCAAATTTGATCATCAAGGCTTATCCTTGGATCAAACAGAACACCTTTGTTCTCCCCCACCCACTTAATTAGTGTCTAACGACCTCAAACGTCGATTCACTGTCCAACCCTTTCTAAAGACCTAAGACTAATAGAAATTTTTAAAACAAAACTAATCATTCAAATTAGGATAAACAGTGAAGAACTTCGGTTATTCATCCTTCACTTGACCCCCCCTCTTACCAGACCCAGGATAAATCTTAGACTTAGTAAGTTTAAAATAGTATCTAACGAACTACTCGCGTTCTAATTATACCTGAACCTTGTGGATCGATTTACTATTCTCCAACCTTTGAACACAATCACTACCCCTAAGTAAGATTAAGTAAGTTAACACCTTAACTTATACTAGTCACGAGAAAGTAAAAATCATTCTTCGGAATAGATATACCTTTCTCTCCAACCCTGAACAAATAGACCCAGGTTAAGCTAACAAAAAAATCGTAAGGACTAACAGTTTAAGCAATTAGAATTCACCTAATACCCTTTTGCATCCGTCATCCTAAACCTTATGTCATTTAAAAACCTAGGAAATAAACAAACAATCGTTTTACACAATTGTGAAATAGATAACAAAAAATACGACCTTGTAATCACACCTCATACACAAACAGTTGGATACATTCGAACAAAACGACAAACACTAAAGAGAAAAATAATAACAAAACAAAGACAAATAACACGAAAAAGATTTTCAAAAAATCGAAACGCATTTTCAGAATCAGAAACCAACAGTTTAGACGAACTTTACAAACTAAAAGAATCAATAGATAAAAATTGCCCAATTCACGATCAACTATATTTCTCTGACTCAGAAACAACTTCAAATTCATCACAAAGAGGAAAAAGAAGAATAAAAAAGCAGTATAAACACAAACCAGTACATTTATACAATTGGAATCAACCAATTAGACACATTAATAATTACATATTAACAGTCATCGAACGAAAAAATGAGCTCAACGCACACCCCAGGTGACGAAACTCCAGATGATGATGAAATCTTTCCTTTTATAGTAGACGCAACTACTGATAGAGGACAACACATATTTTGTCAAAATTTACTCTTAAATTTATTTGAACCCGGAATCAGTCCATGTAAAACAGAGTTCCCCGATGTAAAAATCAAAAGACAAATCATAGACCACTATCTAAAAGATATATGCAACATAACACAACAGTATGGAATCTACTCCATAGAATTCACCTCACCAAACCATAATAATAGAAAATATACAATTCAAACAGACGATCTTGATTTAGAATTTTCAAAAGTTTTTTCAGAATATATAAAAAGCATCCAATACCATAACTCACAAAGAGCAAACTCCATTTTCA